ATTGGTTAAAACATCACAGAAAATCTGAAACACTGTCTGGTAATATTCGCTGAAAATATGACTGAATGTTACAATGATTTGGTAATTCCACGCACACAGCACTGTATTTTGTACCCGCGCTCGCTCATAGATTTTTTTTACATGTAAACCGATGGGGATATCTCAGCCATTAAAACCCCTGAAATTAGCGACCAAATCGCACACAAACTGTTTGGTATCCGCGCTCGCAATGTTTTTGTACACAGAAACCAGTTGGGATCCCACCAAAATTATTTATGCGGCACGTTCCCCGGGGAGGGCTGGAATCTTGTAAAAGACTATTGACCGGTAGGCGGGCATACAGGCATCTTTTAAAAGACTGTTTGTTGACCAGTAGGCGGGAATGGCTAAAATCATGACTACAATCAGATGGCTAGATTTCTAAAGAGAGGTAAATATATATATATATATACGGACCAAATCAATATTCATAAAGGGTACATCACCATTACGTAACAATATTTTAAATCCGTCATATTTTTTCACAGGATGTATCATCTATAGATCACATCGACAGTGCCGGTCTAACACCCATTCACATAGCTACTGTAAGTGGGCTAACATCAATCATTGAGGAGTTGGTATTACTAGGTGCTGGTTTAAATACTCAGTCACACGATGGCCAGACGCCCTTACATGTTGCCATCAGACTATGCCACTGTAATAAAAGACAGGTTGAAGTGACGACAGCTTTGAAGCAGGTTATGTATTTTTTTGTTTTAGTTTTTCTTTTAGTAAGAACTATTAGTCTTTCTAATCGGCACACACACTCGGGTGTGCACACGCGTTTGATTTCTTTACCTTTTTATAACCGAATCTCTGAATATAGGATGGACAAGGTCTTTGATAATTCACGTTATAAATATTTGTTTATATGGAATTCAGAAAATACATACCCTTTTTGTTTTGTTAATATATACTTTTCATGATCTGTTCCCCAATATAATTATGCAAGAAACTGTTGTGAGTGTGTATGTAATGCGTATGAGTCAATGTGTCGGAGGGGCCATCAAATGGAGGTGAGGGCGGGGGATGGTCAGGTGCATTTATTATTTGTATGTTCATTCATTATAATTATTGGTAGAAGTAGCAGTATTAGTATTAGGCCTATCATCATTATTATTACCATTTTCACCTCCATTATTATCATTATTATCGGGATTTCATATTACTAGTCGATAGTGCCGTGTAAATTGATTAAAGCAAGTATAAACTTAATCCAAATATAACGATCTTATTCCCTGTTATCGTAAATTTGGAAAACTGGTAGGAGGGTAGAACATTTTTTAATCCAGACAGTTTACTTTTGTCTGTTTGTTTATACTCACAATAATCAAGTTCTTTAATACCATTTTCATTAACGTAATAGATACAACAAGAAAGAGATGATGACATATCCCCCTCGGAGGCTCTGATACAATTCCTTATAAATAAAGGATCCAAGATCGACATCAAGGATAACAAAGGTTTTACTCCGCTACAGTATGCCAGAGAGGAGCGCATTAGGCAAATGGTGTTCAGGAGGTAAGATAATTATAACGACGAGTTAACCAGTCTCTGTAAAATAATAATCAAGATTTAATTCTTCAAACTGAATTACTAAACTTAAGGAAATTATCTGCATTATTGATGTGCATACTTTCTATAAAATTCTTGTATATCTCCTCTGAAAGATTCGATTTTAATTTTTCATGAGATTAGTCGCCTACCTATTTTATTTCGCTGTAAACATCAGTCCTTAATAACTATAAGTGTGCATCATGACATTTAAGTCCCAATAATTAAAACAATGTTGATACATGACTGTAACACATGACTGTAATAAATCAAGATATACTACGGCGTAAAACATAGATGTACGATAGGTTATATACATCAACATTATAAATAGACTCATACAACATATTTTTGGTTCTTTTGGCAGCTTATCCGAAGATGAGGTTCATACATTCCGGGGTACGTATTCCATCTATTTTTGAATGGTTTTACTTCTCAGTAAGATTGTTCTCAAGGGTCAATGATTTATACAGTGCGTCCCAGAAAAAACGAAACCGAGAATCATCGATGTTCTATCATAACGTAATTACAATTATAATTAATAAATGACACATATTTGGAAAGCTTAGATCCTCCTCTTTCATTTGATGCAACTCATATGATGCATATTTCACGCATAAGTGATTAAAAGCAATTTGAAGAGAGGAATCCAAAAAGTAATTTGGCAGGCGGTATCTGAATTTCAAGGAGAAAATCAAGTTTCTAGAAAGTTCAATGTCTGCCCTTTCATATGACACCTCAATCGGGAAAAATGAGCCAGGAATAACAAAGCTCTGTTTGTTTAAAAAATGCTTGCATTCCCATAATTTGATCAAACGAGTTATTTTTCACTGGCTGCCTGCCGTAGCATCAAACAGAGTTGACAAAAGACTTAAAGTAGATATTCATTGATTTTAAAAAATAACTTTATCTTCATTATTGCAAAGTTGAAACTTTGATTCGACAAGGTTATCAAAATTCAATGCTTGGGAACATTCGAAGTAAGGATTATTATAAATTACAAAACGCTTAGATACAGCCCCGGCATAGCCCCTGAAGAGCACTCCGAACGCTGCTGAGATGTGTGAGATCACAGTATGGACATGATTTGCACAAGCAGACGATGTCTCATGACATCTCACACATTTTCAGTGCCTGTGTTTTTATCTTCTCTTGAGTTCTTTCTCTTACTTCACTACCGTCAGGCTAAATGTATAATCTATTGCCTCGCTCTAAACCCCGTGCATGGTTTTATTTTGATGACAAATGCAGTGATACCAAAATAAAGGAATCTGTCGCTTGTAAACAAAATAAGACGCCATTGTATATTCAGCTGCACACACCGGGTAATGTTCGGCGTTTCAAGAGGGAACAAATGCCGTCCTTAATATCGTTCCGGGGGGTTTTCAATTTGAAAGTCTGGTTTCTTTGATTGTTAATTAACCCCTATCCTGTGAATTTACAAAGATTTTAGTTATCAGAATCGGGTCATATCCCCTTTTGAATGGTTTGACATGCCATTACATTTATATACACTAAACTTATTATAATTTGAAAAATAATAGCTTCGCAATTATGTTCATTCCCTATGGGATGTCGTCTGCTTGGGCAGTGTTGGTCCATATAGTGACGTCATTAAAACATCGTTATTTTTCCGGCGAATCTCTCGTATATCCCAACTTCTATGGAGGTGGTTGTATTTGTATTTTTATAAATCATCCGATATGTAGTTGACCTAAAACTTTTACGATGGCAATCTGTTAGCTTACCAGTTTCTAGTGATACATTAGTTGACATATTTGTGATCTTCTTTGAATTTCACCTTTAACTCCATTTCGTTGAAGATCAGCCATGCATCAGGTCTTTCGTCTTCTTTGTGCATGGATGATCGTCAACGAAACGGAGTTAAGTCTTTTGTCAACTCTGTTTGTTGCAACGGCAAGAAGCCAGTAAAAACGAACCCATTTGATCAAATTATGGAAATGCAAGCATTATTTTAAACAAACAGAACTTTTTTATTCCTGGCTCTTTTTCCTGATTGAGGTGTCATATGAAAGGGGAGAAATTGAACTTTCTAGAAATGTAATTTTCCCCTAAAAATTCAGATACGCCCGCCAAATGACTTTTTGGTTTCCTCAACTATTTTTCTTGTACCTGGAATCCTGCGGGAATATCAATCATGAACTTTTTACCATTACTGGCATTGTTCGTCTCTTTAAGGGAATAGCTAAAATCACGACTGCAATTTCGACCAATCAGATGGCTAGATTTCTAAAGAGATATATAAAGGAAAATACTAACCACCCCTTCCCCATTTATGCACACCGCAAAGGTGTAACAAAAAACTGGATAGTTTCTGCGCTCTATATTTATACGAAACCCAAATACATACTTTTTAAATGTAATATCCCCTTTTGGGTATGAGATTACAAAGAGCGGAGTATTCTGAAATCGAAAAAGATTCGACAATTCATTTACTCATCATCCGTATAGCGTTGATAAAACGATGTCCGTTTCAGGCAATCTATTCGTGTTATAGTGTAATATGGAAAGACTTATTATCAAGCTAACATCAGATGATATAATTTACTTATCTTATTTCTTGTTCCCTTTTCCGTAATTTTGTTTAGATCTGCCGATTGCAAGATCTACTGAAAGTCATCGCAGTATTGGCTGTGAAGGAGGGATTCTCCATTTGGATAGTTGTGACGTCACAATGTCGATTCCACCAGGGACAGTGCAGGCTGGCACTTGCCACGATGTATCTATAGCTCTAGTTACTGATGATCCCCCACCTATCCGAGAGGGAGAGTTTCTTACAGGCCTTGGCATAGGCATCACGTTCCCTGCACAGTGGCGCTATTCTAAGAACCAGCCTATAACGATAAGTCTCTCTCATGCCGCAACGTTGCTGAAGTCAAACGATGTTCATGCTGACTATATCTGGAAACAAACTGAATCAAAATCAGGTTAGTTGTCAATAGGAGGATGCAAGGAAGTTGCAAACACAAAATACTACTTTTCAAGAAGTGCCACCTTAAATACAATGGGCTCCCATAATTGGCGCAGTCAAACAGTTAATTGATTACAATATACTTGTATCAAAATTAGAGATGCGCTGCAATTTTTAAAGCTTATTCTGCGTACATTCCTCACTCACTTATGTATAGATTTTGTTTTCATCGAATCTTCATTTCATATCGTCGGTTATTAAATTCTTATCATTTACCTACCTAGCGCGAATGTTGTAAGCCAAACATTTAGTAACAAACCGAAGAATTTTCAAAGTCATCACATCAATCAGGGTCTTACAAAACAAAACAAACACTTACATATTTTAAAACAGATTTGTATTTGATTTTTTTTCCTGTTAATATGCAATTACTTACAGTTAACCGTGATGAATCATTTGATGATAGTGATACGCAATGTATCATTAAAGAAAGGGAAATCAACCTAATCATAGATGCAACATCTGTAATCAAGGACAAGGTACAGATATGGATTCCGATAGAGCTTCATTATCATGCTCTTGGTAAACGAATGGCGTGCACCCCTTTCCTTCCCGTTGACATGGCACATGGGCAAGACATCACACTCCGGATATACATACATGAAGACATACCCTACATTGTTCAGGTAATATGAATATATATATATACATAAATAATCCCCCAAAATTGTAATAAAAAATTCGTGAGAAAGTTCTTTTCTTCTTCGTAAATATTATGTCTATATGTATATATCAATGATCTTTATTTAAACTGTTTAATTTACTATATCGATAACCGTGATATACGAAATATCCGACAAACGTGAGTACACCCTCTTGAAAAAATTCTTAACTATTCCAATGCAACCGCTAAGTGCGCTACACTGTTAGCACGGTAATCATAGAATAAATTTATTGTACCTAATATGTATCAAATAATGCATAATTTATCATTGTCCTTACGTCTTTTGTTCTTTATTCAATTTTGTAATTGGTAAATTTGAAATATTTATCTTTTGTTATGGGTTTACTCATATTTCTTGGATGCTATATAAGTAGGCCTCTGTTTTTGATTTATAAGACCGTATCAATGTTTATACTTTTGAAGGTGGCGCATCGCTTAGCTGAAAATTGTTACATATATTTTGTAGTAAGTTTAAAAATCAGTGATTCAACATTTCAGATTTTTACTTTAGTGGTACAATTGTCTGTCTTACAAAGTTTTATACAGTAATTTAGTATTGGTCTAAAATAGAAATGTTTAACAATGGTCTCTATTTGGACTCCAATTTCAAGACTATTCTTTCGTACAAACTACATGAAGATGTAAAATCTCTCGAAGTAAATATCTTAGAAATGTTGAAGAGATTTCCATTAAATGCACCATTCGTTAATCTAATTAGACAAATCGAAAAATTACTTTAAAAGTATATGAATTTCTATCATTACATTTATAAGATGTGCTTTCACTGTTTTTGTATATTTTTTTTTAAACAGAAAATTCAGGAAGATGAGGAGACTTTGCTATACCGTCAAGTACATCCTGGAAGATGCTTTGTACTTCGACCTGAGTCAAATGATCTAGAGCTGGAATACAATGGGGGGAAAAGGGTAATTATTATAACATTATTCTACAAGCGTTGTTATAATTAGGTTAGAATTTCTGCATTCATTTCATTTAAAGATGTGCTTGGTACCAGGCATTAGATGCAAATAATTTCCGGAGCCATACTGTTAACGGTCTGCCAATAGCGATTTAACTCTCAGTAAACGTTGTGTTGTAAATTCGCACTAAATATGGTAAATATAATATTTTATCAGATCATCTCTGCGACAGAACTTTTCAACCGGCAGAAGACACTAGTTTCAATGCCCATTACGACGGATACCAATGCCAATATACAGATGATGAACATTTCGATTACAGCAACAAGTACCAACCAACAAAAGGCCAGCATGGCGTTCATGGCTATACGGACTGGTTTGTCAATCTTCTTCTTCGCCTTTTTGTCCTCCTCCTCCTCTTTCTTCGTCTTTGTCTTCTTATTCATCTACTTTTTCTCCTACTATACTTCATCTTCTTTTAATTCTTCTCCTGTTCCTTCTTCTTTCTCCTCCTTTTCAAAAAGGAATTATAAACAGCAGCATTTATCGTTTAAACATGTTTCAATTATATTATTTTCACGGAATCCTGGATCACTGTATGTTTGTCATAATGGTTATATTGTAAGCAATTTGTAAATTTGACGAAAGTTTATCCGCGGGTGATGTTATAATTGATAGTTAAACAAATATATTGCATGGTAACTTTAAGAGCACAGATGAAATAGTTTCGTGACTATTACGTATTCTTCTTTATTAACGCAATTGTCATCCCCAATTATCATCAATTGAAACAACTCTTGTCTCGGTGAGAAAAGTGGGTTCACTATATTTTTTTCCTTCATTTTCCTCCAAGGATTCTCTACCGACATAAACTCAACCCTAAATGCGATGGTCCCTGGATCAAATACTGACATCAGGTAAAATTACCCTAGGATTGTGTTTTGTTCACATTATCAATTGTTTGTGTCAATTCTTTATTGCTCATTACTATTACTGTGCATTTTCCCTTTTTTGACATGCTCTTAACCATTATTAATATTTTTCTCATTATTATTCAAATGTAACAATAGCATGGTGAAAACTTTTAATGTCGATTGTGTCAGCTGCAAATCTGACCAGCATTAGACGAGATAAATTAATAATGTATTACTGTATTATTGAAATAACCTTTAAAATAACAAAGACTGGGATGCTAGGTAATCCCGTTATCTAGCCTAATTAATACATTAAATAATGGCATAGTTTTCTGTCTTCTCCCTGTATTTCCATTTATAGTAACGCTGAAGAAGTTCCGAGTCTGGATTTCATCACCAAAGAGATGAACACTGATCAGTACTACCATCTTGGTCTAGCATTGGGTATGTCCTACCAGACACTTGACACCATCCAGTTTAGAAGCAGACAACATGAGGAGGCCGGAGTTTATACCCCGAATCAAAAGGCTGCTATCTTTATGATCCGCTACTGGAAATGCTTGTATCATTCTGTCTCCATAGCAGACGATCATCTTAGAGAAGTGTGGAAGTCCGTGAGCGATTCTGGACATTCAATCCCTGTTTCGGAAGAAGGACGAAGAGCTGGTAAGAACGCACTGAATTTTGAAACACAATTAAACTTATTCTTAATTAATCCGGGGGATATAAGGAACATTAAGAATTGAAGGATTATACAATCAACTTTATTACTTGAATTCAATTGATCAATGAGGTTGAAGAACATCTTTACATGGTCTCCCTTTTTTCTACCTTTTCTATAAAGAAAGGGAATCCGACAAAAATGTGGAAGACATCTTTGGAGGAGAATTTCATCTTGAAAAATCAAGGACCGCCCCGAGAGTAGTCCTACATGCTTATGAGGTGGAGGTGAGTGTTTCCGTGCGGCAGTTGTTTGTCGTTAATATTCCAAGAGACGTGTGTAGCATGTTCTTCAAAACCAGGATCTTGTGCAAAAAACGTACTACTGGTGATAAGTTAGCCATCAGTAATAGTTAACATGGCAACATTACTCAACAGCTAATCAAATCATGGTTCCCATGGAATTTAACATTACTGGCTAAATTACCATCAATGGTAGGCTTTTAAGAAACGGGGCCCAAGATCTTTACCACTTATTCTTGAGTTAGACGTTATCAATGTGTACATTGTGCATACATAGGCCCGTTAAGCAGACAAACACGTTTGCAACTCTTTCAGCATCTATAGGCTTACATCTGACAGGGCAGAAAGATACTCCCAGATTTAGCTAGGAGCCTTGATGGTTCGTAGACGTGGTTATCTACTATTAGTTTATCATGCGCTCATGTAGATGTGGGTCTAGTATAGACACTGAATTCTGATTCGAGACAATGCATTTTTATGTAATAGTTAGGAACATGTATAAAGTATAAATTATATTCCTTTGACACTAATCTGTCCAAAATAACATAAAGGTGTCTTATGTAAAGCTCAAATAAGAGAAACAACAAAGGGAGCGTCATGACCTGTACTATAATTATAAATCCTCCTTTCAGCCCGTTGATGAAACCTGAAAGACTCCTCCACCGGGCTACGACCCCGAGTGCTTGAATTGACTGTCCCCAAGCAGTGTCAAGAATTAATTCAGATATCAAGTGGCAGTCCTAGAGAAAATCAATAATGGATAATCACCCTTATGTCACGGAAATTCAAAACAACCTCTCTTTCTCTCCCTCTCATTTTACCTTTGTTTTGGTCAAATGTATCAACTGTGTATGTATCCTTCATTTTGAACATTTGCTTATACTGTTTTATTCTTTGAAAAATATTAAATTCCGACTTAATTTGGAGAAAAATCCATTCTCACTGGTAATGCTGTAATCCAGTTAAATATGCCTATTTGGCAACTTGCGATGATTATCTTTCCCTCCAAAGATTCCGGAAGCAAGGGGGCACTGGGCGGAGAGTCTTCATCATAAGCGAGCAAAGACTCCTAGTGTCAGAAGTGATTCGTTAACCAGGTATAGAATGACTTTGAAATGAATATAAATGGGTACTACTACTAGTTTACAACTTTATCAGGTACATAAGAACTAAAATGGCGTCTTTGCCTCTTGCTAAAGAGCCGCGTTTTTGCCTAAAGTAAGTGCAAATTAATTAAACGCGTTTCTAAGAAAAAAGATTATAGATCCAGGATGGATTTGCAATAAAAGTTTCTCCCTGTGACCCAATACTAAAAAACAAATACGTTTAGTAAAATAAATCACGAGTAAAACAAATTGCAGGGCCTCAGAAAGAAGGGCAGAGAGGCTGATGTGGCTTCAATGGGTCAACAACAGTTAGTTATAATAGCATTATTATCATAATCAATATTATTGTTATCTTTAGTATTATTATTATCATTATTGCTATTATTACATTATCACTATTACTATCAGTAGTAGAAGTAGTAGTAGTAGTAGTAGTATTGTTGATGTTGTTATTATTATTATCACCTTACAGTTTCAGCACGTTGCTAGAGGAGGAAGAGGAGAGTCGCTTTCCGAAACGTCGTAAGTTGCCCTATCTTGTACTAGATTTCTTCTTCTAAGTGGCGGATAATATAGAATGAAAAGGATGCAATATACCTAATTGTTTATTAATACTTAGTTATCCTAATCGAAGTATTTCTCGATAGCATAAGATGGGCTCACTTCACGTATCATGCTATTGCATTCCATTTCAACATTTTACTCTATTTTAACTGGGCTATTTCAGACCGGGTTTTTACTGGGGGGGGGGGGGGGGTCAATTTCACCCCCTCCCCCTAAGATTTCGGCCGTTTCACGGCCGATCGCCGCGAAAATTTGCATACATGTCAAGTGAAGTGTATTGAATACTTTGGTAATTTAAATATTTTGAAAAAATTACTCATTTGCATATTTTTGGTAATTTATGCAAATAAGGTCATAAAATTCACATTTTGGCCCATAAATCATACATTATTCATATTTAAGCATTCTTTTTCACTACGTATATTTGTTAGACCATTTGGAATAATAGTACAACACAAACAAATGAAAGAGCTAGGTTATTCCTTATGTTATCTCTTGTTTTGATAATTTCTTATGTATTTCATTGTTTTTTTAACTTATGTATTATATTGTTTGTGTTGTTTTATTTCATTTATAACTACAATTCAACTATTTTGACCCCAAAACAAACACCTAAACTTTAAACAAGACTAAATAACCAATGTTTTATCTCTTTTTAGGAAAAATGACATTTCCTTATGTTTTGTACACAAATCACAAAAGTGAGCGATTTTCGGGCTGACATGCAAAGACAAAAGGTCACGTGACTTTGTAACTATACGTCCGATTTTCGAAAAAAATCGTTTTAAAAGAAGCGTAAGACTCGAAAGAAAAAAGTAGTGAAAGGATTTTTTTTTTTTTTTTTTATATCTGCCGCAGTTTCAGAGTAGTCGCAAAATTTCTACAGGGGGGGGGGGGGGTTCAAATTGACCCCCCTCCCAGTTTTAAAGGTAGTTTGTGAGTTAATCAATTGTAAGATTCTCGCAAGGAGACAAAATATAATTTTAATATTTTGTGTCGAGTTTAAATATGTTTTTTGAGTCTCAGACAGATATTTAAGATAATGTTAATTTCTTTGATGTTCATTTCAGATGGCGCATTCATCCCCGGTTCAGCTCATGCGCATAAACGTGCCTTCTCAACTTCTAGACACACACGTGACATAGTTCGAAAGTACATGTTCTGCCTTCCCTTTTTTTGCCATGAGATTACACTTATTAGTTGTATTAAGAGTTGCGAAATCTGACTTCTATTTATATACACAAAACTCATAAAAACAGTAAAATATGTAAAACAATGCAGATAAAAATCAAAATATTACATTAGAAATAAAAACATGCAGTAAAGAACGAAACATATATTATGGTGGGACTAGCAAAGGCATAAGCCTATCAAGGGTTAATTCCCAGTTAGCTTGGGATGAGACTTGCCTATACTAATCACTTTATATATGTTGACAACTATTACACCATTTTAAAATGTCATTTTCAAAATCAACTTCTGGATAGTCATATCAAATGTCAACATTACTGATTCAACGGATCGTTTTCTTTTTCAAAAGCATAAATGAATCTCGTGTTAATAAAAGGATCTGAGAGCGCGAAAGATGTAACGTATATTTTGTCTGTATCTGGATATTGTTCACAATTTCCAACCAACTTTGTTCTTTCATTTTAGTGTTCTGAGTATTGACGAACATCATGAAGATGAAGGTAGGCAGCCCCTTTAATTTTTTTTGGTGGGGGGCGGGGGGGGGGGGAGTATAGAAATTGATCATGTTCCAAAGCGCAGCAATCGAATCATGTTTACATGTTCGTTTTTTGCAATATAAATGAAACGAACATTTTTTTTAAATACTTCTAAGTAACAATGAAATGCAGAATGTAATGTAAACCATTATCGTCTATGTATCATTGTTTATTCTTCTGTAAAATTACTTTTTGAAAAGTCCGACAACCTCAATGTTGGTAATTCTTTTTAGAAGTAGGATTTTATTTTTGGGAAAAGGCGCTATATAAATCCTGTAAATATTACTAGTAGTGCACCCAAAATCATTTACAGAAAAAGAGCGTTCCAAGCAAGCCATTTTTGCATGGATGGGATCTGGTGAAGGAGTAAAACCGGCGGATTTCAGACCGCATGAAGACACTTCAGAACCTACAGATGACGAGGGACAGACAATAGAGCCCGTTCGCCATATCCCTTCACCGAGTGCCCTTCAGGATGACATCCCAGTTCAAAATCTTGAAAGCAGGGGTGATATAAGTGAGGAAACTGATGTGATCCGGCTTGAGAAGTATGGTATTGAAGTAAGAATTCCACCAAATGAAGCTTACAGCGCAAAGGATGTCACTGTCGAACCAATCCATGACATTCCACCTGAGTTGGTGCTGAAGGAAACGGAAGTCATCATTTCCATCGGCTTGAGAATGTCGCCCTCAGATGCAACCTTTGATGTTCCGGTGACAGTAACGATGCCCCATTGTGGTATATTCACAAGGCCAAAGGCTGCGAAAGTCGTCATTTATTATCGCGAGAATGGTAAAGTTTTTTTTCTCTCTCTCTCTCTCTGTCTTTCTCTCTCTCTCTCTCTCTCTCTCTCTCTCTCTTTGTCTCTCTTATCCCATTCACATTGTCATTCATTAAATTAAGTTATAGATATGATCAAGGAAGTTAATTAATCAGTTACACAAATGATGTTCCCCCCTAAAAACACTTTTTTAAACCCTAAAACATGAAGTACTATTGGTTAGGATGGGGAAAAGAAAGTAGATATATCATTAATGATTAGTGTTTAGAGGAAAATGAATGGCTGCTGTTATTTTGTAATATATTGTAAAAATTGCGATACTTATTGCTGAACAATTGACATTGAAGTATATGATGTGCTGATATTATAGTTGTGCTTAGGTATTGGTTAACGTACGATTACTAGATTTTCTTTTTCGACATTTTGCATGATTAGCTTCGGAAAGTTTTACAGCGATTCCTTCTTCCAACGGTAGCCTACGATGTGTTGTAAGACAACGCGACATAGATGTCTACATGGATCACTTCTCCGAAATTTGGATTTTAGCTCTCCTCACACGGGCATTCATCGGAAAACGTGTAATTTGTACACCATATATTCCAGTGTCAACTCCGAAGAATAATGAACATGTGTTGTTTGTCCGTGTACGAGATGAACACATGGGAAAGGGAGAGGTTGGTTTTCTTCTTATTATTTTGCTCTTTATCGTCATCGTCTTCGATTGCATTTATATTATCCATAAAAATGTATATAAAATTCTTTATCAAGTGTAAGTGTAAAAGTATTATACGAAGAAGTGTCGTGTTATTGTGGCCTTTTCACTTGACTCTCAATCCTAGCGTTTGGGCGTTTGAATCCAAGCCAGGCACTGACATCTTTGGCAAGACATTAATCCACATTTTCCACTGGCTTCACCAGGTTTAAACGAGTACCTGGCAAATTGCAGGGCACGCAGGAAGAGAAGCATTGATATGCTTACCTTAGGAAATATAGGACCCAATTATTCAGGCGCGGATCCAGGATTTTTTAGAGGGGGGGGGGGGGGGGGCAGAAATTTGAAATTATGCGAGCCAAATATTGGTACGTAATGGTGACCAGCAGTGACGTAATGCGGGGGGGGGGGGTGGGGTGCAAGGAGGGGTGAGTTTCCCCCTCCCTCCTCCGCGAAACGCGGAAGCTTTGATGTTTCATTAAATTATTAGAGACAGAAGACGATTCGTTGTACCGTTCTCGAAAATAATCCTCGTCTGATTTTAGGTTCCCCCGAATCCCCCCTCCCACGCGAAGCGCGGAAGCTTTTACGTTTCATTACAAATTAGAGAAAGAAGACGATTCGTTGTACAGTTCTCGACTCTTAATCTTTGTCTGAATTCAGTTTTCCCCTCCCGCGCAAAGCGCTGAAACTTCTACGGTTCATTAAATAATTAGAGAAAGAAGACGATTCGTTGAACCGTTCTCGAGAATAATCTTTGTCTGAATTCATTTTCCCCGCCCCCTCTGCGCGAAGCGCGGAATTAAGATTTGACGTTTTCAATTATTAGGGAAAGAAGACGATTTGTTGTACCGCGTTCGGCCCTAATCCTTGTCTTAATTCATTTTCTCCGCCCCCTTCCACGCAAAGCGCGGAATTAAGTTTTGTCGTTTTATTCACTTTTTAGAGAATGAAGATGATTCGTTAATCAGATTTCAATATAAACTTGGCACTCTGTGATTTGGGTCTTGGCACAATGGGATGAGCCCTGTGGCATGTTAAGAGTTAATCCTCGTCTGAATTTAGTCCCCCCCCCCCTCCCATGAGAGAAAGAAGGCAATTCGTTTCTAAATTCAGTCCTACCCCCCCCCTCTTGCGCGAAGCGCGGAAGCTTTGACTTTTCATTAAATTATTAGAGAAAGAAGACGATTCGTTGTACCGTTCTCGAAAATAATCCTCTTCTGAATTCAGTTCCCCCCCCCCCCCTCCTGCGCGAAGCGCGGAAGCTTTTACCTTTCTTTAAATCATTAGAAAAAGAAGACAATTCGTTGTACAGTTCTCTACTCTTAATCTTTGTCTGTTCTTTGTCTGCTCCTTTTTCTTCCTACGTCCTCTTCCTTTTCTCTCCTTTTTTTTTTGGGGGGGGGGCCGTGATTTGTGGGGACCGCCCCCACCGCTCCCGGGCTACGCGCCTGCGGTCAGATAAACACATGTTGAAACCTTGTCCGACCCCGGAAGCTCAGACGTTTAAGGCATTAAATTACGGTCAGATAAGCATTCAGGGGCCGCCTAAGGGGCCCCTGGTGGGGTCGAGGTGGTGGAGCCCCCAAAATAAGGGGTTTTAGGCATTAAATTACCGTCAGATGAGCATCTATAAGGGCCCGCCTTAGGGCCCCAGGTGGAATCCAGGGGGCAGAGTCCCCGGAAGCTTAGGGGTTTTAGGCATTTAATCACGGTCAGATGATCATATTTTGATGCCTCAATATTTGTTGGCACTGGCAGTTAAGTATTGTTTC